AATACCATGTAGGAGGATGTTGTCACGTCGACTAAATGCCTCAAGTTTATCTAAATCGTCGTCAATTTTGGTCATACGTTCGTCAATGTAATCAACCTTTTCCGAAATGGCGTCAAAATCAGAATACATAGTCTCGCTAGTTTGTTTCAGGTTCTCTATATCCGACTTGATAAGGTTAACTGTTTCATCAAGTTTATCACACCTAGAAGAAATCGACTTCACATCTTCTTTCAACGATTTGATTTGATCACTCAGCTCGGACTTGTTGTCCTAAACACAGATATATGAGATGGCCCTTGAAACCATCCTGTCCTAAACACAGATACATGAGATGGCCCTTGAAACCATCCTGTCCTAAACACAGATACATGAGATGACCCTTGAAACCATTCTGTCCTAAACACATTTACATGAGATGGCCCTTGAAACCATCTTGTCGATAAGAAGAGCCAGCAGGGGGGATTCACTAAATCAAGACTGCCCTCGTTTACTGATGCCGAGAAACTGCGGAACAAAGGTAGGAGTCAGAGTATATATACAGATGTATGAATTGGTCCTTGAACCACCTTGTCCAGAACACAGATATATGAGATGGCCCTTGAAACCATCCTGTCCTAAACACAGATACATGAGATGGCCCTTGAAACCATCCTGTCCTAAACACAGATACATGAGATGGCCCTTGAAACCATCCTGTCCTGAACACAGATACATGAGATGACCCTTGAAACCATCCTGTCCTAAACACAGATACATGAGATGACCCTTGAAACCATCCTGTCCTAAACACAGATACATGAGATGGCCCTTGAAACCATCCTGTCCTAAACACAGATACATGAGATGACCCTTGAAACCATCCTGTCCTAAACACAGATACATGAGATGACCCTTTGAAACCACCCTGTCCTAAACACAGATACATGAGATGACCCTCGAAACCATCCTGTCCTAAACACAGATACATGAGATGGCCCTTGAAACCATCCTGTCCTGAACACAGATACATGAGATGGCCCTTGAAACCATCCTGTCCTGAACACAGATACATGAGATGGCCTCTTGAAACCATCCTGTCCTAAACACAGATACATGAGATGGCCCTTGAAACCATCCTGTCCTAAACACAGATACATGAGATGACCCTTGAAACCATCCTGTCCTTAACACAGATACATGAGATGGCCCTTGAAACCATCCTGTCCTAAACACAGATACATGAGATGGCCCTTGAAACCATCCTGTCCTAAACACAGATACATGAGATGGCCCTTGAAACCATCCTGTCCTGAACACAGATACATGAGATGACCCTTGAAACCATCCTGTCCTAAACACAGATATATGAGATGACCCTTGAAACCATCCTGTTCTTAACACAGATACATGAGATGGCCAGAGATGGCCCTTGAAACCATCCTGTCCTAAACACAGATGTATTGGGATGATAGTCGCTTCGTGTCAGTGTGTTATATTACATTAAATTTCAGTTGCTTGGAACACTCACTTTTGATTTTGTTAACTGCTTCGTGGTAACAGAAACAATAACCTACCCAGAGTCACCCACGCAGATGTCGGAAATGTGTGTGGCAAATGTGTGATTTATCATCAGTGTACATGATACCAATTTTAATGTTTTCTTAACCATTAGCCTGCTGAATTAATTTCAGCATAATGCGTTGTAAAGAGGGTGGGTGATTTCAGTCGGTGTGTCATTAATTAAGGGACAACTGAAAACATATTTGGCACATTAATACCAGATAGAAAAATGAACATTATTATCTAAAAATATGCTGATAATTTCAAACATACAGAGGTTAATGACAAGGCAAACATAAATAATGTAAATTTTCCTGAATTTACCTGAATTACTTGATTGACAGTGGAATGCATTTCATATACGGAACCTAAATAAATCGTTAAATTAGCGCAAACCGATTTCAATATTCGTATTTCCGATATCTCATAAATATCTGACTTCAAATTCGTATATTTATATCGGCAATTATCAGCGCGACGACTAATTAAAAAACATTTCTGAAAAAAATAATAATCGAAAACAAATCGTATTTTCGATGTGATCACATATTTTTTTTAAATGGCACTATTACGTTGATTCCAACGTGTCATGTCATGAAAATTGCAGAATAAAATACATGATTTATGAATATTCACGAGTCCTAATTAAAGTGTTATGGTTCATTATTTTCGACACAAGCCCACAGAAAACCAGTGTTGCACCGTGTCACACGTACGAAAAACAAACATGGCGCGCTTCGTCCAACCCCTACATAACATATTGCTATTTTGATAAGAACAAAGCTTACATGACTTACATGTATAAGCCCTGGCGAACGTTGAAGTATTTCTCATTCTACAAGTGTTTCATTTATCATTTTCAGTTTAATATGACCAGAGAAAAACGAAAATTAAGATCGCGAAATCTAACTTGTTTTCTGGTAAGTGCAAAGGTCACCGGTCGTGATGTCACAGACAGGGGTTGTCTGGTAAAAAATCTTTCGTTATTGAATACTAACAGTAAATTTGGAGATATTTCGTCTGGCAAACCCAAATTGAACACAAATCACTATTTAGAATGATTAATCATAGCTCACAGAAACAAACATTGTGTTTTTGACTATATAATCGGCATATCACGGAACCAGTTTGACGTTGTATGCTCCCGTGACACGGAAACAGAAGTCGATCAACACTCCACATGCAAGTTTCTCAGTATCTTTCATTTGAACATTTGTTGATATTAGGACCACCACTTTATTCTACACTGAATATGCAGATAAGAAACATATAATAGTTAGGCATGTTGATGCTAGTTTGTTAGTTTTTTAACTTTGTCCGACGCAACAACGTTTACAACCATCGGCCTCAACATCAGGTGCGCGGAAATGGGCGTGACAAAATTTGTGTTTCAAAATAACATTCATGCTCTTCTTATTGTGACAAAATATGATGCATGATACATATGTATTATATCATATACTAAAACATAGTATCAATTATATTTCACGTGAAATAAGGGATGATTTAATCAATTGTGTGTTCATAATACGTGTATGCCAAGTTTATAGTCTCACTTCAGAACAATTTGAATTACATATATAAATTTATGCATTAAATTAAAATGCTTGGTGAATACCGATGATATGTTTGTAATGCTTAATGTTTCACAGCTGGTTACAACTTTAAACATTTTCATATATTTTCATATGTTAATTGTTATTAATAATATGAATAGTATTTTGCTCTCCCAAGTGGTCATGGGTAAAGACATTAAGGATCTATCAATGCATTAGCAAAGTGTAACCAATTTTCAATTACTGTCTTTCAGTGATGTGGAAAACTAACAATTTTACATAATTATTTAATACAACTATACCATAAAATATATGGATAGATATTTCATATTATTTTGTGTATTTTCTTTCTATACAATATCTTGCTAAAATATACCTCAAATACAGATGGTGATGAACTATGTTTGTTTTCAACAGTACCTCTTTGTTTTGTGACATATATTCAATCACAAATAACTAGTGTCATTGATGCTGTTGCGGTAACAGTATATTTATCAGAAAATGTTATCATTTCATGAAAACAGAGACCAAATACATGTATTAAATTATATGGTCTCTGATGAAAAAGTCAACTGGCCTCATATTCTGCTAAAATTGACGTAAATAGAAACGATCTTACCTTAGTATCTTTTCCTGGTTTTTGGAGCAATGACATTTGACAATGTGAAATTGTGAAGTCAGTCAGTGTACTGAACTATCAAGGATTGTTGCTGTTTGGTGAAATGTCTCATAGTGATATTTGTAAACATAAAGATCTACTCACCGGCGGCAATATTGAGGCGAAAAAATAACAACTCCAGTTGATAACAGCTAACAGTAACCCATTGAAGGTGTCAATGGTCGTTTTCCAACTCGTGCATACTTTACCTCCATGGATGCCATGCCGTAAGTGCTTCCGGTTTCAACAAGGGTGGGTACAATTACAAATATTGTGATTATTTTTCATGATCTGTATTATTTAGGTATTGAATCGCTTTCTTAGAATGTATATGAGTTCAAATTCTGATTATGAACGTGTATTTTCTAACATCCGTCGTGTCTTGTCTCCTAAAAAACCCGCGAGTTTGGCCACGCCCTTACGCGTCACCCACGGCTGTCAACAATGTCAGTGTCGGAAGGTTTATCAAACAAAATCATTATATACTCGATAAATATGATATTTGTTTACAAAGACAATAACAGATACCGAATCAGACCATGCAATTAATTCCAACGAAATAATTGGATCTATCAAAAGGATGGCACACTTTTTTCGGTATCACGATGCATGTGGAGTTGTTTGTTTACCGCCGTTGCCATGATCCTTCCTATTTCATCCAATCGGCGATGTAACATTGAGATTGTTTTTGTTTATAACTAATTAAACCGAAAGTTACTAATTTTTAGAAAATATGAAACTTCAGTGTTTTCTCTTCACCAAAGAACAAAAATATTGATCAAATTATGAAAAGAATATTCCATTATGAAGAAAATATTACACTGGGTACCACTTGACGTGATGTGCGCGAAGTCAACAATGGCCGTTACTTGTGGCTGTGTGTGGATAAATTTGGCGAACAAATCTTTAATTCGCGGGCGTTTCGTTTTAAGGTACATAAACTTATTGAAGACTATATATTTAGAAAGCTGAGAATTAATGCATTCCATACATAATTAAAATGACACGTAAATCTGACTTGTTGAATAATTATTGCAAGGCTTATTTGGGGATGTCATTATGCTGCTGTCCGGTCGAATGGGTTCGACAGTAGCATTGAGAGGATTAATTAGACGTTTTAGTGGCACTTGCAGAAACGTTTGCTTGATCAACGTCTGTGTTGTAATGTGTTGTCATCCGTGCTGTCACCGACTATATACCACCAGTGGTTTGCTCATAAAACTATTATGCGTATATGTGCGTTGTAGGAACAGCAGATTTCCTTGGGTTGAACTACTACACCTCTGTCCTGGCGACGCCCCGGGAGCAGCCCTATGATCCCCCGAGATACGACACGGACCAGGACGTGGAGCAATCAGTGGACCCTACATGGCCAAAGTAAGTCTGACCATTAAATATCATTGGGACGAGAACGACAGCAGACAGTGAAAATCTTTGTTGGAGAAAGCGTATTTTCCGTCTGTTTTCAAGACAACATTGTCTTAGTTTCAAAAGGGTACCGAAACATTCTTTTCACAAAATATTTTTTTTACGAACATCCAACAAGTCCAGCGACAATTTCCGTAGAAGAATATTATATATCAACATATGGACATATTTGGGTACTGGACAATCTGAATAAACTGAGTAATAATGTTTCTTTCATCTCTCAGATTGTTTGTTTCTGAAAACAAATCATCAAATTAACACCATCTCACTGTACCCCTTCGTCACCTGTTCTAGATCCGGGTCCTCCTGGTTATTCTACACGCCCAAAGGTGCACGTGAGGTATTGAACTGGATAAAGGACACTTACAGAAACATATCCGTCTACGTGACGGAAAACGGTGTCTCCGACAGAAACGGCAGTCTTCACGACTTCTACAGAATCAACTACTACAGGGACTACTTGGACGAGATGCTTAAAGGTATGACGTCTGTCTGGATCAGACAAGTGTGATGACTTTAGAGGAGACAATCTTTATCAATGCATGAAACATTTCCCGTGTTTGGCCAGTTTCGTGCTTGTTTATAACATGAACTAATGTGAGAAAATAGTTTTGTGTACTCTCAGCTATCCTTTCGTCGAAATAGCTAATTGCTGCCGTGAAAACGGAATGGTTCTTATTATACTGAAATAGGTCTCTCGGGTTTATTGTAGTGGTTAGAGCGTCCGCCCGGAGAGCGGAAGGTCGCGGGTTCGATCCCCGACCGCGTCATACCAAAAGGACGTTAAAATATGGTTCTTGTTGGTCCCTGCCTGGCGCTCGGCATTAATAGGTGCAACAAGGACTGGTCGGCTTGGAGTCAGTATAATGTGTCTGAGTGGGGTATTCATGCTTCACTGCGGCATGGTATCTCAGTGGGCTAGCACTATAAAACCAGCTTAAGTCTGGGCTAGTACAAGCAGTCGCACTTACACATAAAACGGGCATGCACGTCGTCATATGAGCGAAATATTCTCAAGCACGACGTAAAACCCAATTTCACCTCACCTCACCTCACCTCTCTCGGGTTTATTGATAATTGACCTCCTATGAGTGTTGGTCATTTGGAAGTGACCTTCACTCATGTTCACCTACTACGTCTCAGCGCTGACCAGGAAGCACACAGACATTATCTGACCTTTATACATGCCATTGGTGGTATAACTCTATACCATACTTGATTATTCTCATTGTAACGTTGTGAATGCATTCAAATCTTACCCACAATGCACTTTGCGTTTCAGCTGTCCGACTTGACGGCTGTAACCTCAAAGGTCATACATCCTGGTCCCTCATGGACAACTTCGAGTGGGCTCGTGGATATTCGGAGAAATTCGGTTTACATTACGTAGATTTCGACGACCCTTCTCGGCCACGAATTCCCAAAGACTCAGCGCGGTATCTCGCCAGCGTCATTGCAGATAACGGCTTTAAGAAGGGTTACCACCTGCCTGGAGGCAAGGCAACGGGAACTGTTGAGTATGAAAAAACATTTTTGTACGGAACTTTCCCAGATGACTTTGTATGGGCTGTGTCCACTGCTGCGTATGAGATTGAAGGCGGAGCCAAGGAAGATAGTAAGTTTCGTACCATTACAGAAGGAACGTTCTTGTAAATTGATATTTAAGTCTACACATCACAGTGTCTCGTATATTTGGTGAACATTATATCATTACATCTTTGGGTGGATATCAACAACAAATATGTCACACTTATTCATGCATTAGACGTGAGTAGCATTAATTGACACAACGGAGTCACATATTACGGGGTAACAAATGATAAATGTGGTATTATACATGCTCGTGGTTCTATTTCATTAAGACAAATCCGAGAGTATCTGGGACGTGTTCAGCCACACACCCGGCCGCGTGTCCGACGGGTCGACGGGGGACGTTGCTACCGACAGCTACCACAAATACAAGGATGACGTTCAGCTGTTGAAGGAGCTTAAAGTGAGTGTGCGATATGCTGTACAGAGCGTTAGTTAGTCTTGGGCTCCCTGCAGCGTACAAAGCGTTCTTTAATCTTAGTTCTCCTGTAGCGTACTGAGCGGTACTTGTTTAGTGTTTATTACCTTTAGTCTTCTACTTCCTTCATCAGACCGTGATTACGCAGCACGGTTTTTCTTATGTGCCGCCAGGTGACGCACTACAGGTTTTCCATCTCCTGGCCGCGCGTGCTGCCGTCAGGTGGGAGGGACAGTAGGAACCAGCTGGGCGTGGCCTACTACAACAACCTAATAGACGAACTTCGTAGTAACCAGATTCAGCCAATCGTTGTCCTCTTCATTTGGGATCTCCCAGAAGTCCTCGAACAACATGGCGGCTGGCTTAATACCTCCACTGTGGACCTATTTGTGGATTATGCCAGGTTTTGTTTTGAGACATTTGGAGACCGGGTAAGATTTCAAACTTGTACGTCCATTTTATTAGTTTAGCATGGTATCATGGGTAAATCTAACAAATGAAATATACAAATTGTGCATTGAGCATGTATTGCTTATTATATTATCAAAAATAAAGGTGTATTACTTTTGATCTCGGTATAATGCGGCAGTGTCCAGGAACCTATGCCGCTGGGTTCGAATCCCAGGTTGGCGATAACACAGCTAACACGGCATGGTATAACTGGTTTACTGGCCAAAGCAGCGTTATACAGTGTTAAACAGTGTTATACAGTGTTAAGCAGCGTTATACAGTGTTATACAGTGTTAAGCAGTGTTAAACCGTGTTAAGCAGCGTTATAAAGCGTTAAGCAATGTTATACAGTGTTATACAGTGTTAAGCAGCGTTATACAGTGTTAAGCAATGTTATACAGTGTTAAGCAGCGTTATACAGTGTTAAGCAGTGTTAAACAGAACATATTCACTCACTCTACATCAGGTGAAGACGTGGAGTACGATGAGTGAGTCGGTCAACTTTGCTAAATACGGCTACGAGCGGGGGGAACTAGCTCCCGGGAAGACACTGGCAGGGGTGGGCGGATACACCGTCATCAGGAACCTGGTTCTGGCCCACGCCAAGACTTACAGGATGTATAAAGCTGATTTCAAGAACCAGAAAGGTGGTTGGTTTGGATATATTTTAAATTTGTTGACATTTTAGAACTGCAGGAAGGATGGTAATTGACTTGCATCTTTACACATTCTGTGTCTCACTGTGTCTCAGGGCAAGTTGGCATCAGCATCAGTTTCGACTGGATGGAACCCGTGAACCCCGACAACGTGGCTGACATCGATGCCTCCGTTAGAGCCATGCAGTTCACGGGGGGTCTAGCTGCTGAACCCATATTTGGAAGCGGCCAGTTCCCGGAAGTCGTGATGTCACAGGTAGAGAAGCGATGTCGGGAGAGGAACGTCACCAACTGTGACCGTCTTGTGTCCTTCACGAAGCAGGAGCAAGCCATCATCAAAGGTGCTTGAATAGGACATGAAACACCTCACCACGTAGAAAGCGACACGTTTGAGCTGACAATAAAACACTGTTATCGCGTAGAGAATCGACCCTCCAATTGTACTCCAGTTTGTCCATCAGTGTCGTGGACACGCGGGAGTAAAGCTTGTAGCTAAAACCACAAACACTTTCAGATATAAGCTAAACCTTCGCAACGGTTCGTAGGGGATTGTATATTTTGTATATCTCAGTCCTTCCAAAGGATACCCAGGATCCTGTTTGAGATGATTCCTGAACATTTCTCTCTCCCTCTCTCCTAGGCAGTTCGGATTTTTTTGGTCTCAACCATTTCACGAGCTCACTGGTAACCACTGGTAACCTGCCGGCATCCGATCCCCCGACACAAGACAACGACATGGACGTTACCTTTACCGCAGACCCCTTACTGCCCAGGTGAGAACCGCAGTACACTTCAAGGTGCTCAGGTGAGAACCCCAGTAAACTTCAATGTGCCCAGGTGAGAACGCCAGTAAACTTCAAGGTGCCCAGGTGAGAACGCCAGTAAACTTCAAGGTGCCCAGGTGAGTACGCCAGTAAACTTCAAGGTGCCAAGGAGAGTACGCCAGTACACCTCAAGGTGCCAAGGTTCGTACACTAGTACACCTCAAGGTACCAAGGTTTGTACACTAGTACACCTCAAGGTACCAAGGTTTGTACACTAGTATACCTCAAGGTGCCAAGGTTTGTACACTAGTACACCTCAAGGTGCCAAGGTTTGTACACTAGTACACCTCAAGGTGCCAAGGTTTGTACACTAGTACACCTCAAGGTGCCAAGGTTTGTACACTAGTACACCTCAAGGTACCAAGGTGAGTACACTAGTACACCTCAAGGTACCAAGGTTTGTACACTAGTACACCTCAAGGTACCAAGGTGAGTACGCCATTCCTATGAACAGGCATCTTCAATCACAACAGAAGTGTCTCGGTTCTTGAAGGATTCAGCAATATTCTGTAGCAGATTTGTTTCCAACTAAGCGCATATTCAGAAATTCAGTCGCTGATAAATATTGAAAGTATCATAATATAGTAACATTCCAATTAACTAAATTATGATGAAATCAAAATAACAATGTGAAACTTCACGCAAAACAACTAAAATACATGTATGACCTAACTACAATGCAAATACTATCTGTTCCCAATATGACAGGGGAGGTGACATATGTTCCCAATATGACTGTGGCGGTGAGATATGTTCCCAATATGACAGGGGAGGTGAGATATGTTCCCAATATGACAGGGGAGGTGAGATATGTTCCCAATATTACTGGGGCGGTGAGACAGCCCTATGAAGCCATTTTCAGGCACTCCAAGTTTGACAAGCAGTAATCACTCTCGGATCTTATCGCCAATAAGAAACTTCAGCCGTAATTAGAGGTACCAGTGTATTGACTGATAAAAACTGATAATAAACTGCTATTCCTCGAAGTCATTCAGGTAATGTTCTTTGGCTACTTATAAGAACCATTTGTTGCAGTCCCGTGACGAATGGCATGACCGACTTCCGGGTGGCTCCACTGGGCATGCGCAAAACACTGAACTGGATCAAGAGCCGCTACAACAATATCCCAGTGTACATCACAGAGAACGGCATCCCTGACACAACTGGCGACATCCACGACGACACCAGGGTAGATTATCACCGAGACTACGTCGACGAAGTACTGAAAGGTTGTGAAATTCTTTGAAACTCCTCACAGGTGTCATTGTGAATGAATATGTCTAACATATCATTGTCCGCATCCTGGAGACATAAACCAAACCCCAACATTACACTTTGTAATGTTCACAATAAATGCTCCTAAGCTCCGTACCTCGAACTATCGTTCCCAAACGATAGCTAACATCACGTAGCAGAAACAACAATGATTCGCCATTTGACCTGAGATATTCACACAGCACGGGGCTACAAGATCAGGTTCTGAGATTTGCTATATAAAGGTTAAAATGTACGGGTGGATTTACTTTTGTGTTGGAACTCACTGGTTTACGAAATGCATTGTCGCCCCTTTCAGCGATGACCTTTGATGGGTGCAATGTCAAGAGCTACTCAGTCTGGACCCTCATGGACAACTTCGAGTGGACATACGGATACTCCATGAAGTTCGGCCTCTTCAGTGTCAACCTCTCCGACCCCCAGCTACGCAGACAGGCCAAAACATCGGCTCGGTGGTACTCGCAGCTTATAGGTAAGAGTCGACAATTTCCAAGACAGTGATGACAACTGTTGATGGTGGATTTAAGCTATGGTTGGGTATCGGGTGGTCACTGTATGTGACATGACACTGGGTATCGGGTGGTCACTGTAGGTGACATGGCACTGGGTATCGGGTGCTCACTGTATGTGACATGACACTGGGTATCGGGTGGTCACTGCAGGTGACATGACACTGGATACCAGGTGGTCACTGTAGATGACATGATACTGGGTATCGGGTGGTCACTGTAGGTGACATGACACTGAGTATCGGGTGGTCACTGCATGTGACATGACACTGGGTATCGTGTGGTCACTGTAGATGACATGACACTGGGTATCGGGTGGTCACTGTATGTGACATGACACTGGATACCGGTTGGTCTGTGTAGGTGACATGACACTGGGTATCGGGTGGTCACTGTATGTGACATGACAGTTGGTATCGGGTGGTCGCATCCGTCCCAATAAAGAAGCTGTGTATCTATAAACAGCGTTCCTCTACGTATGGGACATGGTTTACTGACATGGCTTCTCTATATACAACTATTCCTTCTCTGTATGTCACGGATAACAGAGTATGTAATTGCACAGTATGTGCCCCGTTTACACGAAAGCTTCATTCTCCATCTCTTCAGAGGACAATGGTTTCAAACACGGGTACAGAGGACTCGGAGGATGGGGCGCTGCGCCAGAATATGAGGACGAGTTCTTCTACGGCACGTTCCCAGAAGGCTTTGCGTGGAGTGCTGCTACCGCCAGTTACCAGGTTGAGGGAGCCTTCAACGAAGACGGTGAGTTTGAAGCAAAATCAGCATTTAGTAGAAGCGCTCGTAAAATCTGCGGAAATGTATCACAATCCTTATAACTTGTTACTCTCTGTGATGAATCGTACTGTCAGCTTGATCCCCTGATGTGTCATCTGGTCTGCAGGCAAGGGGCCAAGCATCTGGGACACCTTCACAAGCATACCCGGCAACATCGACAACGGCGACACTGGCCGAGTCTCATGCGACAGCTACCACAATTACAAGGAAGATGTCCGCATGCTTTCACACCTGGGGGTAAATATACACCTGCCCTCATCCCAAACCAGGTCTAGTGAGTGAGTCTAGTTTTACGCCGCTTTTAGCAAGATATGGGCTTCACACCTTGTACCCATGTCGGGAATCAAACCCGGGTCGTCGGCATGGCAAGCAAACGCTTTAACCACTAGGCTACCCCACCGGCCCCATGCTTTAGTGTAGTTCAATATACACTTACAACCACATCCATGGACATTTTTCGTTCAAGGGTTAATTATTCACAAGTTGTCTTTTCAGTAGTTTAGTTTTGCTACGACACAACGCCCATCGGCCCATAGACTCACCAACTCACAATCTCATCAGGTGACGCACTACCGATTTTCTATCGCCTGGTCACGTGTTCTACCACACGGAACGCCTGACATCGTGAACCAGAAGGGCATCGACTACTACAACAACCTGATTGACGAGCTGCTGGCTGTGGACATCACGCCGATGATCTCCCTGTACCACTGGGATCTCCCCCAAGCTCTTCAGGATCGTGGAGGCTGGTTAAACGAATCTATCACTGAACACTTCAAACTGTATGCCGAGTTGTGCTTCCGGATGTTTGGAGATAGGGTAAGGAGTTATCTCCCTTACATCATTTACTTCCGGCATCAAAGGGAGGGAGATCAAATCGGATAATGTTCATATCCAGTGGACATAATCGCTTTTCTGTCAGTCGTGAGAAAAAAATATGTCATCGAAAAGAATAAGATAAAATGAATTTTGCCCAGCTAGTACATATTTTGGACTTGGAGAGAGAGAACTCTCTGAGTAAAGTGGACTACAGGAATGTTTGATTCACTCACATGTTCAGGTTCATATGTTTCTTGTTACACAAGGTTTGCCCGCTTCTAGAAATTCAATGTATTCATTTTGTAATTGGGATCTTTTGTTACTTCGTAATTTTGCACTTTGCTGAGGGAGGACAATTTTAACGCCAAATGCGTATTTGTCCTCGATATTTGGTTAGATTCACATGAGGCATGGCGTCTCCCTTGTCTTTTCATACTTCAAACATCACGGTCAATAAACCATGTGTTTATGTTGCAGGTGAAGTACTGGTTCACCTTCAATGAACCATGTGTCTGTCTTGCAGGTGAAGTACTTGTTCACGTTCAATGAACCATGTGTCTGTCTTGCAGGTGAAGTACTGGTTCACGTTCAATGAACCATGTGTCTGTCTTGCAGGTGAAGTACTGGTTCACCTTCAATGAACCATGGGTTGTCTCATACATGGGTCACGGTACGGGAGAAATGGCCCCTGGGTTGAAGGAACCGGCGACCTACCCCTACATCGTCGCCCACAACATCATCAAGTCTCACGCCAAGGCGTACCACCTCTACAACGACGACTTTAGGAAAACGCAGAAAGGTTATGGTCAATGTGTAACTTGTTACCACGGTTACCGATAGATGACGATGCTAACTTCTAAAAACCCGCGTAATCCATCAATGTATGTTTTGATTCCCAACCATTCAAACCGTTTTACCAAATGTGTGTGCTCCAAACTAAATTCTTTAAAACGATCTCCTATTTTATGTTCCATTGTAAAATTGATATGTTTCATGATGAAAAAAAACAACACGGCGGAGCAACGTATACCGCTTTTGCATTTGGGGTAGTGGAATATTTAGAGAACTGTTATGTCTGCTCAACCGTCACTCAATCGTTCAACAGTCTGTAAAATGTTATCTATGGTTGGGTATGTATGAACAAAATTAAAACCGTACCAGGAAAAATAGGGGTAAGAAAAGACATATGACCCGTAACATGTTTGAACAAAAAAAGCAAATTCAGTCCAAGAATCCCATAAGCAGTGGTGTAAAATGCGAATGTATTTCAAATACTTCTTTAATTGAACAACTCCAGCACGAGCATTCTTTGAGTGCTGACTACGCGACAGTTTCAATACAATATCTCTAACTTCAAATATTGAATTGAAAACCAAGATTGTGATAAATTCAACTCGGACGTATAGTGTCTTTCGTTAATGAGTATGTTGAGGTTGCTATCAATGTGAGTACAGGTAACACCAATGTTTTAACGTCTTCAGTTACACATTGTTGGTTTGTGTCCCGGTATCCTAGCCAGTACAGATGAGCCTCACCCAAACCCTAAACACGTAACACCTGAACAGATTGCCTTCCACTGGACCATATAATATTACCCACATGTGTTGATTTCGCAAAACTGCGGCGTAAAACTAGACTCATTGGCGCTTCTTCTTGTAGGTCACGTGGGTATTGTCTTGAACATAAACTTCGTAGGGCCACGTGACCCGCTAAGTCTTGGCGACATCCAGGCGTCTGAGCGCGGGATGTTGTTCGCCCTGGGCTGGTTCTCGGACCCAATATTCGGGGATGGAGATTACCCAGAGTATATGAAGAACATTATCCGAGATCTGAGCAGAGCAGAAAATCGCACTACTTCCAGACTGCCCGTCTTTACACCGGAGGAAATCGCAAAAAATAAAGGTAACCTCAAACCTACTCATCATTTCTCACGGACTTCTAAAACTGTTTATAATCTTGGAGAGAGAACTGTCGTTGCTAAGTAGCCATTAGGACAGTATTTTGATCTATAAGTGGCAGATGATGCAATGAAGGTGAGCTACGGAATCTTCCTGACTGTTTTCCCAGGGTCGGCTGACTTCTATGGGATGAACATGTACACAGCAGACGAGGCGTGGTCTGCTACTGGTGTCCCCTCCCCTCCCAGCTACTCCACCGACAGCCTCGTACACACGGCCAAGAACCCCGCCTGGCTGGGGTGGGTACACACACTTACATGTTCAACATACTGTAATATTCAACACACTGTAATATTCAACATACTGTAATATTCAACACACTGTAATATTCAACACACTGTAATATTCAACATACTGTAATCTTCAACATACTGTAATATTCAACATACTGTAATATTCAACACACTGTAATATTCATACTGTAATATTCAACATACTGTAATATTCAACATACTGTAATATTCAACATACTGTAATATTCAACATACTGTAATCTTCAACATACTGTAATATTCAACATACTGTAATATTCAACATACTGTGATACATACTGTAATATTCAACATACTGTAATCTTCAACATACTGTAATAACATACTCAATATCAACATACTTCAACATACTGTAATATACTCTAATATTCAACATACTCTAATATTCAACATACTGTACTATTCAACATACTCTAATATTCAATGTAACCTTGTATTGTCGTATGTTTACAATCCTGTTCAGGTCTGGCTCCTCCTGGCTCAAGGTCACACCGTTTGCCATGCGGAAAACTCTAAACTGGTTCCGGAACCGCTACGGTGATGTCCCGATCTATGTAACTGAAAACGGTGTGTCGGACAGAAATGGAAGCCTCGATGACACATACCGTATTTCTTACTATCGGGCGTATATTAACGAGGCACTGAAAGGTTCGTACACATATCATTACCCTTATGTTTTCCGTGTGGTGATCTGTTGCATATATCACATACATCCTATATCACGGTAACATAGGGTGTCCTTAAATGATCGATGTTTATGACGTATATCTACTCATTGAATCAACTTTAGCTGGCAGTATTAAGTCAACGTTTCAGTGAACGGCCCAATATGTCAGATAGTGCCAAATGATTAGCAGGCGGGCTTGTCTGCAGACTCACCCACGGGAGACAACTCTGTGTCGGGATCGACTGTCAACAGTTGTAGAACAGTAAGACATCATCGATGTATGGAGCTTGTGAAAGTATTTCCTGCTCTGTGATCCTGTTGGATATTAAAATATCGGACCATGGTGCCAAGGTATAGGCAGACGTTTATAACACCTTCCAATATATTACAAATATATTTGGACAGTGATGGACTGTAGCACCACAGACACTCACAAACGACGTGATTCTACTGCTGGTTGGGACTCGGCCATAGTCAGTGCCGTGTGGGGAATTTAAAGGAAATGTATGACTAGGTTTCTACAGGAAATGGTTCAGGAAACTCAGTAAAGGCTGAATGATGTTATAGACCACCATGATAAAGGTGGAGCATTACGGCGTAAAACAAGCTCACAGACGGACCCGTAATTCCAACTGTCTTCAGGTGTTATTGTGGCTCTTGTGTCAGATATCAATGGTAACTGGTTAACTGGTTAACTGGATAGCCCATAGTCCTCTAACAACCACACGTGGACTGCGGTAGGGTAGCTCAACTGGTTAACTGGATGGCCCATGGTCCTCTAACAGCCACACTTCCACTGCGGTAGTGTAGCTCAACTGGTTAACTGGATAGTTCATAATCCTCTAACAGCCACACGTCAACTGCGGTAGTGTAGCTAAACTGGTTAACTGGATAGCCCATAGTCCTCTAACAGCCACACGTCAACTGCGGTAGTGTAGCTCAACTGGTTAACTGGATAGCCCATAATCCTCTAACAGCCACACGTCGACTGTGGTAGGGTAGTTCAACTGGTTAACTGGATAGCCCATAGTCCTCTAACAGCCACACGTCAACTGCGGTAGTGTAGCTCAACTGGTTAACTGGATAGCCCATAGTCCTCTAACAGCCACACGTCGACTGTGGTAGGGCAGCTCAACTGGTTAACTGGATAGCCCATAGTCCTCTAACAGCCACACGTCGACTGTGGTAGGGCAGCTCAACTGGTTAACTGGATGGCCCATAGTCCTCTAACAGCCACACTTCCACTGCGGTAGTGTAGTTCAACTGGTTAACTGGATAGCCCAAAGTCCTCTAACAGCCACACGTCGACTGCGGTAGGGCAGCTCAACTGGTTAACTGGATAGCTCATAGTCCTCTAACAGCCACACGTCCCTGTATAATCCTGAAAGCTACGTTAACCTCCACTTCACTTATGTTTATACTATAATTATATTGCAGCTTCGCAGCTTGACGGGGTCAATGTCAAAGGTTACACGGCTTGGTCCCTCATGGACAACTTCGAGTGGGCTCGGGGATATTCGGAAAAATTCGGCCTGTACTCAGTCAATTTCTCCGACCCAGCAAGGCCAAGGACACCGAAGGCCTCAGCTGCTTTTTACCACGACGTCATCAAGGACAATGGTTTCGTGAAAGGGTCAAGGACGGATCCGAACGTGCCATCATTTCTTCCGTTTGAAAATGAGACGTTGTATGGGTCGTTCCCTGCAGGCTTCTCATGGGGTGCGGCGAGCTCTGCCTTCGGGGTAGAGGGGGCATGGGATGAAGGTGGTGAGTGAGGGAATGAGTGGGTGGATTAGTGGATGGATGGGAGGGAGGTTTTTTTCGTGAGTGGAAGGATACTAGAGAGGGTGTGTTGTGGGTGGGTGGGAGGGATGGTTTGTTGGTGGGTGGGTGGTTGGATGGGTTTTGGTTGGTTTTGAAAGTGGGTGGATGGATGTGTTTTAGTGAATGGGTGACTTGGTGAGTGAGTGAGTGAAAAGTGATCATACAATGGTGTCAGCAAGTAAAAGCAGTCTTCCGTTGCGTCATCTTGTAGTAAATTAACATTCGAACCTGTACCATTCATTTGACGAGAGAAGGTTTTCACCAGTGGACGAGTCAACCGGCCCGAGGATTACCTGGACCTAATCTCCAGCTACCGATACATCGTGTTTGTTACATTACGATTTAAGTGAATGAGTGAGTGAGTATGGTTTTACGCCGTTTTAGCAATATCACGGCGGGGAACACCAGCATTACGATTTAAAACGCCATCACTTGGATGTGCCTTAATGTAACCACATCACAGTGGAAAACACTCACTTCATCCACCAGTAACATCTCAAGTCGCTGTTTTCTGTTCTACAGGACGAACAGAAAGTGTAATTGATGAATATTCCCACGCGGGTCACACCCCTGATAACTCCACAGGGGATGTTGCGGCTGACAGTTACCACAGATACATTGAAGATGTGGGTGCTCTCAAGGCCGTCAAGGTGAGACTACTCTTCTAAAGATATGCATAGATGGTGTCAGTGCTGTATCTCACCGACTGCTCTACCTTAGGTACACAGACGATGTAACCCAGAGAAGGTCTATATAAGACGAGTATATGGATGGCAACTTCTTCTTTATTGTATAACACGACGTTTCTGGGCTACTTCTTGTCCCATCTTCAGGTGTTGGACCAATGACCCAGAGAAGGTCATTGGTCCAGGAGCTGTTCTGACACATGCCGTGTATATCGACGTGTATTTGATAAATAGCATTTAAGTGTTATTTTCATTATTCATGAACTCATACACTGCCTATATGTTTATATACACTGCCTATATGTTTATATACATGACCTATATGTTTATATACACTGCCTATATGTTTATATACACTGCCTATATGTTTATATACACTGCCTATATGTTTATATACACTGCACTGCCTATATGTTTATATACACTGCCTATATGTTTATATACACTGCCTATATGTTTATATACACTACCTATATGTTTATATACACTGCCTATATGTTTATATACACTGCCTATATGTTTATATACACTGCCTATATGTTTACATACACTGCCTATATGTTTATATACACTGCTTATATGTTTATATGCACTGCCTTTATGTTTACATACACTGCCTATATGTTTATATACACTGCCTATATGTTTAAATACACTGTCTATATGTTTATATACACTGCCTATATGTTTATATACACTGCCTATATGTTTATATACACTGCCTATATGTTTATATACACTGCCTATATGTTTATATACACTGCCTATATGTTTATATACACTGCCTATATGTTTATATACACTGCCAGTCCTAACTGTTTGGGCAATGACGGGTAAGCAGAACCGAATCAGAGCCTTATCGTGAACTACGGACCAGCGAACACTTTTGCCACTTTTGACCAGCGTCGTCAAGTTCTACTTCCTGTTTCAGGACCCTCATTATATATATATTTTGTATATAGTTTAACTTTTATTACCAGACATTTGATTCTGTTGCGACATGGCTGTTTCAGGCTCAACACTATGTGTTCGGGGTGTCTTGGTCGCGCATCATGACCCCGTCACGCGCCATCAACCAGAACGGAGTGGGCTACTACAACGACTTGATCGACTCCCTCATAGACGCCGGCGTCCGCCCTGTGGCTACCCTACATTACTGGGACCTCCCACTGTGGCTGGCTGACAACGGCGGCTGGACCAACGACACGACCGTCGACGTCTATGTGGAGTATGCAGCCACGTGCTTTCAACAGTTTGGAGACAGGGTGAGTACACCCTTACTTGTCCATCCTCGGTGTTCAGGGCTGTTTTCAATGAGTGACGTCATCCACCGTATGTTGGTTTGGTCATGGTTCATATGTTGCACACGGGTCGTTTGGAGACAGTTGGTCGGGTGTGTAAATCTGCTAAATATACTACAGGTTGTTATCGTATAGTCGGAGTATAGAAATGCGATATGAGTATTGACAACACATATAGATCAACAACTTCTTTATTACAACAGGGAGCGACGTTAACGTCCTGGCTCTAATACCCAGTGGAACATGTGTTAAAACCTGGTTCGAAAAGTCGGGCCTAGTAGAAGTCGTTCATCCATATATATCTTATCGTTACTGATCCGTGAAGATTCCTGTCTGGTCCTGTGAGGCGTCAAACTAAACTCACTCACTCACTTATCATTACTTATCACTCCAAACGCTTAAACAAAATAATCGAACGGTACACACCTGTGTCAAATCTCCTATCTTGTCACAACCTGCACAACTCAAAATTGCCTTCAGGTTAAAACGTGGATAACATTCAACAAGCCCTACCAGGCGGCCTTTAAGTACGGTGCTGACGGCTACAGGGCCGTGCTTAACATGCTGCGGGCGAACGCCGCCGCCTACAGGCTGTACCAGGGGAGTTACAGAACACTACAGAAAGGTTCGTAATGATGTTTGGAATTTATATCTGCTTCAGTAAATCGACCTGTTTCTGAACACGATTATGGAATACTTAATGAAAAGTTGAAAACAAAATTGTCCTCTAATTATTCTGATATAACAATGTGGTAATCACGTGATACGACAGTCAGTTATAATGAGTAACTTCAAAGAAATGACCGCGAGAGAGTTTAGGCTCCTTTCAGTAATGATCCAGCGATATGAAGGGGTGACAGAATGAGCTGCACACAAGGTATCCATCCTTGCAAACAATCGGTCGCAGGCTTTGGTCTGTGACTGCAAACAACAAACCGTTCTGGTCAAGGTCAGATTTGGTCAAGGGTGCACTGTGGTCTTCCATAGAAGCAGAGAGTGTCGTGGTCTCCTTATACAGAGTTGTTTCCCTTAGTTCAACATTTGACGTGTAGGGTGTGTTTTGCCCCTGCGATGGCGTTCCACGACGTAATCACGTACGTTCTCAGTAACCGTTCCTCCTGGGGTGTTGGGGTGGGAGTGACGTTACAGCTGTCGCCGGCCACGCCCACACTGACTGACTCACTCACTCACGCCGTGTTGTAGGAAAGGTCGGCATCTCGGTGTCCGCGACGTGGACCGAGCCGGCTGACCCTCACGATCCCGCCGACGTTGAGGCGTCGGACAGAAACATGGACTTTGACCTCGGTCTGATGATGGACCCTATATTTAGCACGGGGAATTCCAGCATCAGTCTCCCAGGCATGGACGAGCATGATCGACGACAAATAGAAGGTGAGGAGCTTTATGTAAATCTACTTGGCTCACGTACTTATCAAAGTCTCAGAAAAGTGTAAAAAATAAATATTTTTAAATAGAAATAATAAATGAATCATTAACATGAGAAATGAATGTAACTTTCTGACCGGTCATCAGTCCGCCTTATATCCTAACTATCAGGGTGAGTACCACCGACAGTAATACTCATAGAACACGTGTCCTAGCCTGACAGGAGCAAACATACTTTAATGATATCAAATGTTTGCTTATAGTTGTTTTCTAGCTGCTAAAGACCCGTGAAGATCCGAGTTAGAATTGGTCTTCAGCTACCCATGTTTGTCATAATAGGCGACTAACGGGATCTGGTAGTCAGGATCGCTGACTTGGTTGACACATATCATCGTACATTGCGTAGATCGATGCTCATGCTGTTGATCACAGGATTGTCTGGTCTGGACTCGATTATTTACAGACCGCCGTCTTATAGCTGGAATATTGCTGACTGCGGTGTTAAACAACCAGCCAACCAGTCTAGTTGCTGAACAATGTCCTAAACACGAGTCAAATGAGTACACACGACTGAAGTTGGCATAAAATCTTCACATACACGTCGGTAACGCGGCTTGGAGCCTCTTGAGGCAATGTTTTCCTAAAGTGTACAGAAGTTGACGAGGTCATGCTGCATGAGTCACACAAACCTCTCAGTGTGGTTATCTCCCGAACAAATATCTACTCTTATTTAAACCAACATCCTCAACTTATGTAGTTTGGAACAACTTGTTGAGGCCGTAATAGCGCCAACAGATTAGGTTCAAAACTCACCCCATATCAACCAGAGCAAATATGGTATCAACCTTGCATGGCAAGTAAACAACGTACTGGTTAGTTCTGAGATTGAGTTCGTCTTCTCGTCTGCTGAAGGCTGGATAAGTCACAGAGTTGTAGTGAACTGGGGTTCCACGCAGCGTTCAGCATTATAGCACTCGTATCATATTGTTGGCCACGTGTATGTGTGCGTGTGTGTGTGTGTGCGTGTGTAGTCAGTAGGATGAGTATTGTGGCTTGTACCAGTCTCACTTACAGATTGGGATATATACCACCCAGGACGCTGAGAATGAAAATCGAGTGCACATTGATCCATTTACCGGGGTTTTCATTATGAGACTCGCCTGTGGGCATTTTTTTCTGATTTTGTATATATTGCTGTTGTTGTTGTGTCTGACACAGACATTGTGTTTCCAGGAACGGCAGATTTTCTGGGAGTAGACGTGTACGTGACACCACGTGTACAGAACGTGGACGTCCACACACCACATGGCGGGGGGATACAAGAGGATAAACACCTGATGCTGTTGCTGAATCCCGAGTAGGTCATCACTCTAAAATATCACCTGGGTTCGAATCTCAGTTTCCCAGCCATGACTGTATCATTATGTAAACCCAGCCCTTACGCCATGCCAGAGTGGCACAAGTCCCTGGAATATTGTCCAAAATGAGGTTGAGCCCACCTCACTCACTCAATCACTTTTGGTTGAATACAGTTTTAGTGAGGCTGACATTCCATGGTGATTATAGACACTCCAGTGATTGACATCATGAGCATCGATCTACGATATTACAGGCATCAACCAGATCAGTGAGGCTGACATTCCATGGTGATTGGTACACAGTACCAGTACTACTTGTAGTAGTCATGGGTCGTTTAACGCCGTACTCGGCAATATTCTACCTAAACTGGAATAGACGACAATCATAGTAGTAGTAGTAGTAGTAGTAGTAGTAGTAGTAGTAGTAGTAGTAGTAGTAGTAGTAGTAGTAGTAGTAGTTACTTTCTGTGTCTTCCTCCAGGAGGCGATCATCCCTGTATAGCCCTAGCGGCGTACGGAAGTTACTACGTCACATCCGGGACAGGTACAACAACCCGGAAGTACTGATTACCGAGACGGGTATATCTGACCAGGAGACGGCAAGGGGAGGGCCTACTAGATCACAGCTGATCGATATGTATGCTGGTGAAGTATTGAAAGGTAAAGGATTACAATCTACATTCTTATCGGATCGTTTTATTAAAGAACACGTCAACAAGTGTACAGTCCATACTGCCTGAGACATTTCCAACTTCACATATCGTTTCTGCTGGGTAAACAAAGCCACGTTTGCAATAAGTCACTTCTCCAAGGTGCCCCCCACACGTTTTGAAGCTCGTGTTTCGGGTGTAAGTAATTGTGGTTCCGCCATCGGGTCATCTACCGAAGGTTGAGAGGGGTCCTGGTCACGCAGGGCGAATCTACTGTTCGATATTATTCATAAGTTGAATAACAGCCTAATCACTGGTGGGTAACCACCTCAGCAGCCCTTAGATATTGTTATCTTCTCATAGACAAACTTTCGTGAAATAAAATGTTGTAATGTCGTAAATTATTACCCTTCCCATTGGAAGGGACAAGGCTACAAAAAGAACTTTTTAATAAATATTCCATGCAACACATATGAGCGACAATGAAAGAAGCGCTAAGTTTGACCTATTTGCACCTATCGTGTAGCTGACTTTACCAGCAAGTAGGTCACGTTTGCACGTGCATCGGAACAAGGTGTTAAAGCCCCTAATAACTGTGCTCCCCAGGGAGGTGGTTTATATATATTAAAGAGATTTCTTCTATGCGCGCCATGTACAGCGCTCACAACAGTGACGGTTTAGTTATTGACATTCAAAGAAAATGTGACATTTCTCCAATATGTTTCTCACTCACCTCCAGATAATGTGGTTTTTTTTAAAATCATGATTGGTGGCGAACACCTCGTTTTACGCATTTCTCGTTATAGTGACGGGGTGTTTTATAAAGAACTGCGTCTCCTGTCGAGAAAACGTTCAGTTCAATTTCTTTCAACAGTCTGTGCGTAAAACAAAAACAAGATAACGTGCTAGCTCATTTCAAGTTCAATATTTAACACAAATAATTAAGGAATGCCTGCAATATAATCATTGGTTTCCTTTGGTCACAGTAGGCCGCTCGAAATTAGCATCGAAGCTTCAAATTACTCGGCACGAGTGAGTGAACCATTCAGTATGTAAAAAGGAAACCAGTTCAGTATGTAACCAAGCGACCAGTTCAGTTTGTAATCAGGCGGCCAGGTAACCAGCCGACCGGTTCATTATGTAACCACCCGACCAGTTCAGTATGTAACCAGGCGACCAGTTCAGTTTGTAATCAGGGGACCAGGTAACCAGGCGACCAGTTCATTATGTAACCAGGCGACCAGTTCGGTATGTAACCAGGCGACCAGTTCAGTTTGTAATCAGGCGGCCAGGTAACCAGCCGACCGGTTCATTATGTAACCAGGCGACCAGTTCAGTATGTAACCAGGCGACCAGTTCAGTTTGTAATCAGGCGACCAGGTAACCAGGCGACCAGTTCATTATGTAACCAGGCGACCAGTTCAGTATGTAACCAGGCGACCAGTTCAGTATGTAACCTAGGCGACCAGTTCAGTATGTAACCAGGCGACCAAGTAACCAGGCGACCAGTTCATTATGTATCCAGGCGACCAAGTAACCAGGCGACCAGTTCATTATGTAACCAGGCGACCAGTTCATTATGTAACCAGGCGACCAGTTCAGTACGTAACCAAGTAACCAGGCGACCACTTCTCGTCATTCGCCACTACTCAGTTATTTCCGTAACAAATCACGGAATGACAAGAACTTTCTTGCGAATGGGTATGTAAAAAGCAGTGATTGCTAGGAGCATAAACCCTTCATGTGTACAGTATTATTATGAATACAAAACGTTCATTATTGACGTTTGTGAATGCTGCACTATGTATTTCATCAAGAGGTAGTGAACGGAAACTGTTTAATCTGGGTTTTTATATTCTCAAGGTCTGCTTTTTACTCATGGCTTTCAAATATGACGTCATTGTTTTAGTAACAGACTGAAACTCGGTGCCAAGCAAACAGATATGATAAATGATTATATGACATGGTTTTTGTTATGGAATATGTATTATAACTATGATTATTGTTATGTTTCTCCAACAGCAATTGAACTCGACGGATGTCACGTGACTGGGTTCACAGTCCGGTCACTGCTGGACAGTTTTGAGCTGAACGGGTACCAAGAAAAATGGGGACTATTTTCTGTCAATTTCACTGACCCACAACGCCACAGAACAGCAAAACCTTCCGCCCACCATTACCGGATGTTGATCGAGAACAATGGCTTTTTCAAGCCTAATGCTATGCCACATGTTACTTCTACGCATGCGCCAGCCACACATGCGCCGCCACACCAAGCTGTGTCCTGTAACTCGGTCGAGAGTGTCCAGCCCATGCGGATCCCGTATACTGTAGCTGTAGTGCTTCTTGCTGTGGCACACCTTTCTATATATCAGTAACCTTCACATTCACAGCTTCCTGTTCAACACACATAGATCACAGAACGCTGGCCTCGTAATCTATATTTCGTGTATTAACATCGTCAATATTTAATGCCAATGTGTAAATGTGCAGATTTATGAAACATATATCCAGATGTTGCCTTTGTGTTTTAATGTTTAACGGATTTTCTTAATGAAAGCAGGTTTGAATATCACATCCATGTAAACACATAGCTACGTATAAACATGTCCCCGGTGATTGTCGCCAGTCAGGGACCTGGGGGAAGGAGTATCAAAGTGAAAGTAGCGTGGCGTGGTCACGGGGATATGTCACGTCTGGTTTCTGAATGACTCACCTTGTACTTTGTACCTGGCGCATATTGTATTGTTGTCAGAACTGAGGGCATACTAGGGGAGGAACAGGTGCCAAACATACCCTGGTTAGATTTTGGTGCCTTCTAAGTGTGGTAGTTGCCAAGAAGGACATCATGGTTATCTAGATGCCAAATATGCCATGTGTCTTGTGACCTAGTAATTCGTTATTTTGTCGTCAGGTTTCACCTCTATCTGTCCAGTCATTCTCAATAAAGTGGACAATTGCAGTCGTCGAGTTTGCAAGATGGGATTCATGAAACCAAAAGCACTCTTTGATCATTAAATACATTAACAATAACAAGTAAAGTATAACAAGCACGAAAAGCAGGAAAACTAACAAGTCATTTAAACCAATGCTTAGCATGGACTGACATACATGGGTAGGGGGTACGTTTTTTGGTGTCGGTGAGTGACGTACCCGTCAATAAAAGCTGCCTGTAAGATGACCACCGCTACCATGAGTCGAATGTAGTTAAGTTTTGAAAGCAATCAGGAACTGTTAATGAAAAAAACCATCAAGTACGCACGTGAAAACATACAAAATTGCAATGTAAGCAATAAACAATTATCGACAGCACACCCGAAATCTACGTTATGTCAGATCGTATTACCCATGACGTAAAACTAGAAACTGTTACAATACCAAAAAAGGTATTATTTGGGGCATGAAATGATATAGTTTATGTTACAAGCATGCTATGTCTACGAAAGATGCAGGTTAGTTGAACAGAGACCAGTAATGTTCGTTTCGCAGACCGATTTTTTAAAGAACGTAATCATACGTGACGGTGATGATATTGTAACGTTGCTGCGAGGCGTTATGGGACCATTGGTTACAACATCTCCTTCTATAGTTCAATACACCAACAACGCAAAAACACAACCTCAAAACCCGGATGGTCGCTTCAGATGTAATTTACGTTTGTATTTGACGTTTATTTAGATTGGTCTATGACGTTACATGGGAAACCCCAAAGACACCAAAAATCACGCGTTGGAATTTCTGCATGCGAGCAGAGCAATGCTCAATCTATGGATTCCATTGTCGATCATGCTACCTGTTCACCCTAACGTAAATTACTAAAGGCGTTAGGTAATTTCATACGAATATTTCTTTCGGAATCATTACTTAACATGATAAAACGATTTTATATGTTGTTGAAATTAAAGTGTGCGTTTGTCAACCACACATATTGTTCTTTAATTTACTCTAAATAAGGATAGATCCAAAAGTAAACAAAAGAATCATCCCAATGTCTCATTGTGTGTTGAATGTTGAAATCTCAATGTTGCACGACTGTCTCGGCCATGCTTCCAGAATAAGGTCACTTCTCTTTTAGTTACATATCTGGTGTATAGTATTTTACTGTTTTGTCATCTATGGCGTTTAATCAAAATTCAGTCATTGGATTAAACATGAGCGTAAGTTACAACGTAATATACGTCACGCAGTAGAACCGTAAGATTGTAAAGGTGGTTAACAATTAAAGCCAAAATATATTCATTCCCATATTGTGTGATTCCAGGGCGTTTTCGTGAACGTTTTATTTTCAAGTTTCTGATTTTAATCTTTGATACAATGTAAATGTGGTATGCGTGGTTCCGTCAATTCTAGATT